CTCTCGATTCCGATGGCTCTCAATGAGATGTTCTCCGCAGTTACGAGGGGAGCTGGAGCATTATGTCGTCGTGGAAAGAGAAGGATCGTTAATTGCCTGCTGCGCACTGTATCCTTTCCTCAAAGACAAATGCGCAGAAGTTGGAGCTTTCGCTGTTTCTCCCGAGTGTCGCGGCCACGGCCAAGGCGACAGCCTACTCGGTTCGTGCATGCATCTTTCTAGTTTATTGTTTCCTATGCGGAGCATAGAAACTAACCGGTTTCGCGATTGCAGATTATGTAGAGCAAAAGGCTGCTGCAATGGATTGCCAGTATCTCTTCCTCTTGACAACTCGCGCCGCAGATTGGTAAACAACTCTCGTCGATCTTTACGATCTTTGGATAAAAAAGAAAAAAACGTTTTTGTTTATGTTTCTCCAGGTTCGTTAGCAGGGGATTTTTCCAGTGCCCCCTGGAGCAACTGCCGGCGGCGAGGCGGTCCGGAATAGACTTCACGAGAGGCTCCAAGTATTACATGAAGTCCTTGCAGCCGCGGCCGTGCAGCAGCGCACAGCTCGCCCTCCAGTTTTGAGGCGATGTCTCGAGTCTATACAGTGAGTACGCGTCCGTTTTCTTTTTTTCTACTTTGTCAAGGAGTCCGTGTGAGAGCCTGTCCTTTCAACTTCACAGGTAGAAGATGTATACCCGGGCGAGAATAATGCGTCAAGCTTTTCGGGATGGGAGAAACTTTCTTCCACAACTTGGCTGTACTTCTCCGGGAGAGCATTCGATCGATCCAGTCGTCCTCGCGGAAGAGCGAGCGAGCGAAAGAGAGGAGAAAGAAAACTGGTTTCTTGGAAGCGAGAATTTTGCCGAGCAGTGGTGAATGCCAATACAGCCGGTGTGATTCTTTGGTACAAAAAAAAAAAAACCAAGCACACTCCTTTAAAACATTAAAGTGTAGCCGTTATAAAGGCTCGCGTTTAAAAAGATGGGGTGAGATCCCAGCCGCTAGATCCGACGGTGATTGGAGGCCGTCAATATCCGGTCCAACTTCCTTGGAACACACCCGTACGGAACGCGGATGAAATGGCCCATGGTGGGTGGCGCAGGGATAAAGATTCCCTGGAGATGCTGGTATGGCAGGGTCGCCTCACTGGCTCACTGGCATTGGTATAGTTTCCTCCTCCTAGGGTTTTACTACTCTTTTCGTTCTTTCGCCCTTCTTCGCGCTTCCTCCTGCCAGGGCTGCGTCGTGATGATCGTCTTGGAAATCTCTACCGCAATGACGGCGATCTGCGGCCCTGCGCAGTGATTCTTTCCCCCCGTTCTTGAAATCTTTGCTCTTCTTGATCGATCGATCGATCGATCTTTCGATCTTTCCATGGCGCGGCTGGAGATCCGGGTCGCTGCCCTCGTGTTCTTGCTGGCGCTGTCGCGGTTCCGATGCGACGAGGAGGAGATTTCGCGCAAGACTTACATTGTGAGGATGGACAAGGGAGCAATGCCGGCGATATTTCGGACGCACGAATCCTGGTATGAATCCACTCTCGCAGCAGCGTCGGGAATCCACGCCGCCGCCCCGGCGGCCGAATTCATCCACATCTACAACACGGCGATGCACGGATTCGCGGCCAAGATGAGCGCTCGCCAGGCGGCGGCGCTGGAATCCGCCCCGGGATTCATCCACATGTTTCCAGACTCCGCCAAGAAGCTCCACACGACGTATAGCCCACAGTTCTTGCATCTGGAGCAGTCCAACCACGCGCCATCGCTCCTCTGGAAGGATTCCACCTATGGCTCCGAGGCAATCGTGGGGATCTTCGACACTGGCGTGTGGCCGCAGAGCCAGAGCTTCGACGATCGCAAGATGTCGCCGGTTCCATCGCGGTGGAAGGGGACCTGCCAGGCCGGCCCGGGCTTCGATCCAAAGCTGTGCAACCGCAAGCTCATCGGTGCGCGATTCTTCTACCGCGGCTACGAGGCGATGAGCGGTCCTATCAACGACACCACCGAATTTAAGTCGCCCAGGGACTCGGACGGCCACGGCACGCACACGGCCTCCACTGCCGCCGGGCGGGACGTGTACCGCGCGGACCTCCTCGGCTTTGCCGCCGGCACCGCTCGCGGCATGGCGCCCAAGGCACGCATCGCCGCCTACAAGGTCTGCTGGCAGTCGGGCTGCTTCGACTCGGACATCCTCGCGGCTTTCGACCGCGCTGTCTCGGACGGCGTGGACGTGATCTCTCTCTCGGTCGGCGGTGGAGTGATGCCTTACTACCTCGACAGCATTGCCATCGGCTCCTTCGCGGCCATGGAGCGGGGGATTTTCGTGGCTTGCTCGGGCGGGAACGAAGGCCCGACTGATATGTCGGTGACCAACATCGCGCCTTGGATCACCACCGTCGGGGCCAGCACCATGGACCGGAGCTTCCCCGCGAATGTGAAGCTGGGCAATGGGATGGTGATACAGGGGGTGTCGCTCTACAGTGGGAAAGGACTCCCTCACCACCAG